GGCCTCCAACCTAATAGTGATGACCTCCAACCTACTAGCGATGGCCTGCAACCTAATAGCGAACATAAATAGTTGAGGGGAAGCAAATGACACGCAGGAAACCAACGCATTCTATCGAGACGTGACACGTGTCACGGGACGACCATTCACGACCGAGGAAGACTTCGGTGGATTCGTCCAGCCGTTCAGAACGTGAGAATTCATATTGTTCATGAACCAGAGTTGGCCCCTCAATGATCCTAGTCAAATGCTGATGGAGTGTCCTAAGTAGGGGCCAGACCCTCATATTGGGAGGGATCCTGTATCTGTAGGTTTTGAGGGGCCAACAAACTGTTTGGACTGGGTGGTTGTCTCTGTGGTGCCCAACGGAGCACAACAAACTGATGGCTCGCTTTCAGTCTGGCTCTAAGACACAGCCACAGCAGCCAACCTGTCGCCGCCACAGCGACAAGCGGTGGTTCAAGTGGGTTCGTCGATGGAGAAAGAATGCACCAAAGTGCATAGATATTGTTTACACCTTGATACGGATTTGTGCAAGGTATCGCTCAGGAGGGACACCACCAGATTGGAGCGCATTTGGAATACAGTAGAGTTTCCCTTGAACAGACTTCTGTGGGCCCGGTTTCTGGAGGCCAGGACCTTCCGCCAAGCTTGGGAGTTGCTGGGGCAGGGGACTGCGGGGTGTTTTGCCTTGGGTGGGGGTGTCTTGGCTTGGGTGGGTTCAAAGATGTTGAAGATTCCTGAGGTTTTTTGAAGCATGGCCTCCACCCTCGTAGCGATGGCCTCCAACCTACTAGCGATGTGTTGAAGCCCGTGATTTGAGGGCTTGAGGGTTGGCGAATTGACACCGAAATCCGCTGCTATGGAGAGGGTATGGCCAAGCGGTGAGTGTAACTCTTTTGGTCCAATCAAAAGCTCCTTGCCTTTGTCCAAAGTATCTGGCGAATGACTGGCCATTTTTGTCCGCAACACCAGCCATGTGGCCAACACCAGCCATGAATCGGAAGCCGCCCAGCGACTCGGTCGCCATCACCGCCACTCCCCCCCCGAACGAGTGGCCGCCACAGGGCCATGGCGACCTTGGGCTACCGTGACTCGGGCTCTGTGGTGCTTTCAAAGGCGGAGGCCTTGCGGCAGGCCCATGAGAAGGCTCGCGCGGTGGATTCCGTGGGCGTACGCTGGGTGTAGTGGGATTCTGTCCAACAGCTCATGCTCTGAGCTGCGAGCTGTGGTCCAGCAGCTTTCAATTTGGGCCTTGAGACTTAGCTTGGGTCGAACTGACTCTTGGGCGGTGCATTTGGGGCGTCTACGAAGTGATTGTGTGAAGATGGTACCGGGAAGGGGCTGCATCGAACTTTCTCATGGATATCTATTCCAAGTTTTGGACGTTGTTTTCATGTTTGGAGATGTGCTTGTTCTTTTGGCTAATGGATCCACACTTCTCCCCTGAGCTTCAAAGGGGCATTCTATTTGGTGCATCTAAGCTAGTGACAGCATGAAAGGCAGAAAAGAGGACTATTTGCCTACATATATGTATGTATATAGATCGATACATAGACATGTCACATAGTCATTTACCTTCTACTCACATTGGTGAGTGTAAGCTGCTGGACTCCGTTCTTTTCGACTGGAGCCCTTCGCCCCCGACCGCCACGGATCGCTGCTCAAGGAAGGAGAACGATCGAGGCTCATGACCTGGTCCAAAAGAAAGAGCCCTCCCAGGCGACGGAGGGTGCAGTCACGTGTTGGTAGGGTGTAGAACACACCGCGTTTTTTTGGCAAGTGGCGGAGCCACATGGACAGTTCCGTGACCTCGTTAAGTAGTGTGACCATGTGAACATGACCAACTCCAGTGAGGTCATTGACCTCTATGGACTGTCCAAGACCGCTAAGACCCCGTCGTCGTGTCGGGGGTCTTCCAGCTACGACTCGGCAGTCTTCCTTCTACGACTTGGCAAGATCCCGAATGAGGCGAACAGATTTGCGTTTTTGAATGCTCGTGCCAGGAGGAAGAAGGACGAGCGTGAAGAGCGGGAAAAGGAGGAAGCAGCCGAGTTTGAAATGTGCCTTGAGCCGAGGGAGGGACTTGGGCCATGAAAACGGGCCGCTCCAAGGAGGAAGACGTAGCGATGTCACGGAGGGACCCCATTTGATCCCTTTGGAAAGTGAGGAAGCCTTGGATCGGATCCGGAGGGGTCCTGCCGTCTACCTGGAGTATGTCGAAGGAGATGGATGATCACAGGAAGTAGAAATCGCCGTTTTCATGGGAGCCCTGCCATGTAGACTCCTTGATTCAATTTTTCACCCTCCCCATTTGGATTGAACAACCTCTTCAAACATGGGGGAGTTGTTTTTCTGGAGAGTCTACAAACCGGCCATACTATGTAGTCTTCCGGGGCCACTTGGCACTCGGTCGTCGGTCGGGGGGTTCGGGTTTGGTCTTGCGCCGATGAATGGAATCGCCCGGGCTCTCTGAACAACAGTGGTTTTTCTTCACCCTGGGAGTCGAAGACCATTTCAAAACATGGTCTTTAGGAGACAGGAACTTCCTGTCTTCGGGGCAAAATATGGGGGTGTATTCTAATAAATAGACCTGCCAAAGACCCTCTGGAAGAAGGTAAATAGACAAAAACCCACTGATTGGGCTGGTATCCCTATTAGAATACACACCCATCTACTGTAGTCGAACTGGAAAACCCAAGCCATGAGCCTTTCCGGTCAACAAAGGAACGCAGAACATGGTGAAGGTGAAGGTCGGTCGGAACCGAAAAAGTAACAACCAGAAGTTGTCGACGGCACCACTCCACTTTTGTAGATGAGGACCCCTGCAAAGCATGTACAAACCCATGTAGTTTGCGAGACTTCAAACAGGTTGACGGGCTAGCTCCCGTAGAACTGGTGCGAGGAAGCCAGTCAAATCAAAACAGCAGGCTCACGACTGTGCCTTTTGCTGTTTGCAAAATCAGGGCCTTGGCCTGTGTGCAAACCATAGTAATAGTAGATAGAATATAGGCGGACAAGCACCTCTCCCACCGCGACATGCTACATGAATTCTATCACTCTACGCTACACGATCCTCAAAATGCAGAAACTGCCAGGAAGCTGGAGAACATCGTCCAGAAGCGCCCGGACAAGCGCTTGAAGTGGCTGCAGAAGGGCATGATCTTGGTGGGCAGGAGCGGCCAAACTCTCCTCGTTGCGCCCGAACGAGAGAGCGTTCGGTGCACATGGTGGGCAGGGGGGGAGCGGGAGAGCGCGGAGAGCGTCTTTCTTTTTTAATTTCCGCCCGGATTTCTTTCGCTTTTGTGATCATTTGTGTGATCTTAGAATTGTTGTTTTAGATCTTTTTTGTAGGGATTCTGGGGTTCCCTTCCAGATGGGTGTCATTTTCAGAGGCTCAGACTCATCAGACTTGTCTCATGGTGGCATGACCTGGCTATTTTTGTTCGTCATCATGTAAATGTGCTAGGTATGGGAATGAACGCATCAGATGACATACTTGGGATGGTTGCCTCAGAAGTCCGATGCTACTATCCAAACCTCTACATCAAGACGGAGGCTCAAGCTCCTTAGCCACCTATCCTAAACGAAAATCCAAGAAGTAGAGGGAATGTCTCTCTTGCTGAGCATATGGCCAGAAGTGAAGGTGTGATGGGTGATTCTCTCAAGATTTATGAATTTACTACGAATTACTTCATTCGAGATCGTCTATATAGCGACATTCACTTGCCCCTGTTGGCTTTGAAAAAGAGCTTCTACTCTGGTGCTTACCGGATCACTCTGTAGACGTACTCCGTGGCAATTTCAGATCTCCATTGTGCGTGGTCTTCATGCCTTGTCTGACCCGCATAGCACCCAACTTAGACATTTCTTGCAAAGCGGGTCAGACAAGGCATTGTTGGGAGTTCGGTGTTTTGTGTTGGTGCTATGGTGTTGGTGTTGGTCAGACGGGCCAGACGGGTAACTCAGCACGTGAAAAGCCTCCGCAGCTCAGCTCACCGGTGAACTTGTAATGGTACTCGGCCGACCATCGGCATGAGTGACGGATCGGTGCTCAGTGGTTTTGTGGGGAAAGCCCTGAACAGCCGCTTTTCACAGACGTGCGACCGAAAAATGACCCCCAGCTTCGATCCCATTCCTGGCCTGGTCGGCCATTGAATCTGTCCCAGATTCTCGTGGATCGATCCCAAATCCCACTGAGGATCTTCCGAAGAAGCATGTTGGAGGGACTGTTTTTTTTTCATTTTTTTGTTTCCGGTACAACACCTTTTGGTGGACGAAGCTTTTGAAAGGAACATGCAGGCATAGTTGCCGCATGTAAGCCGCATGTATGACCATGTCTCTTCTCCCAGGATTGGTGACCCCCCAAGACTGTTTGCATGCCAAATTCACCAAAGGATTGTCTTGTGAAGCTTAAGCCCAAGGGTTTGATTCCATCGAGCTGTAATGTTTTTTTAAACCTGCTCCGCAATGTGATGCGGGACGTCCACTGCTCAGGAAGACCATCAAGGCAAACGCCTTCTTTGAACTGATCATGGCCCATTCCTCGGGGCGTCGTTCCCACTGGGCTGTCAGACAGGGCGGTTTGAAGACGGTCGTTTTCGCCAAGACACCTTCTGCTGCATGTGGTTCGGTGCTAGGGGCCAGTAGGAAGTCCTGTGGAATAGAGGTGGAAGCCGCAACCCAAGTGAATTGAAAGTTGGTTGCCACGTTTGTTTGAAGTCTCTTGCAAAAAACAAAGATCTGATGACCTTATCCAGAACATCCACAGGTTCTGGATGGTTCTGGTATGTTCTGGTCAACTTTATCTCTTTCTTTCTTTCTTTCTTTCGTTTAAATTCTATCTATCTATCTATCTTTCTTTCTTTCTTTCTTTCGTTCTTTTGACCAATATGTTTTGGAGTGTATCCTGCCAGCAGCTGGGCCGCGGACTCTCTTTGTTGCTCTTCGTCAAAGGAACCTGCCGAACCGAACCACTCGGCTCCAGCTGGCTTTGTTGGCTAGTCCATTCGGTGGTTGAAGTTGAAATCCATTCCAGAAAATCACCACTGGGGTGGACATCCAGCGTGGAATCAGTTGGATCAGTGGTTTGTGACTAAAGTCCACGTAGTGAATTCTCCAGTATAACATGTACTTGGAAGGGATGTTCCTTGCCCTTTGCGGATCTCCTGGAACAGGGAAGGATTCCAAAGTTACCCTGAATCCTGGAGTCGTTGGATGTCCTCCTATGTTCATTGCATTGCCCCTATCTTGGTCTGGTTTCCTTGTCGAACACTTGGCGATACCTACGTTCAGAACCAGTCGACTTGCGGGCCCATCAGTCTTCGTCGTCTCATCCAAAGCAGTTTTTTCGCCTCCGAAAGCTGCTTCGTCGTCTGTCCTAAGGAGAAGGCCTTCATTTCTGACGTGCCACCCGAACTAGGCACGGTGCATGTGTTTTCCCCGTGCGGAACATGTCTGTCCCCGACATTCTGTGGGAGCTCGTCGGCGGTGGGATGAGGTGTCCTCCGGTCGGAAGGTTTTGAGAGAAGGTTTCTGATGTCACCTGGAATCCTTGGCACGTACTGCAGGGAACCTGTTGGAAAAAAGTACACCTCCCAGAAGCAAACCTTGTGCCCCAAACTTGGGTCATCATGTACCCCAAATGCACCAACGAACGCTCCCGGATGGGAGAAGATGCACGTGGGGACGCCCCAGGACCAAACCAGTCCGTGACCGTCCTTTGAGATAACCGGAATGACACTTTCATCGACCCTAAAAGAGGCCACTTATAGACGAGAGACTCCCAAAAAGAGGTCACGAACTGCAGCCCCCGGGCTATTTTTGGTTGGAACTGCTTGGAAGCTGGTTGTGAAGATGTATTTTGGGGAGCCACTCAGCCTTGTTTGAGTGTGACACCTTCTACCTCTCCGATCTGGGAGCACAATCCTCCGATTTTACGAGTGGGACACATTGGGACAGCAAATCTGGGACGCGTGGCGTGGTTCGTTGATTTTCGTTGAACTGGGTCCTAACTAAGCCTAAGCTCACTGCGAGCGCCCCTTTCCATCATGCTTTCGGGTGGTGAAAAACCTGCACAGCCTCAGTCCAACAGCGGGGGGGAAGTCGACGCGATCGGGACCTCGGGGACAAGTCGACCGCACGGACGTGTGGTTGCGCGGCATGTCGTTAGTTAGAACTCGTCGGGTGACTCGTTCCAGCGCTGGGTCTCTTAGCTAAAGCCACTGTGACGGATGTGATGGAGCCAACAATATGCGAAACAGGGCGCGAATCGAGGCTGAGATAGGCTGCGCTAGGCTGCGCTAGGCTTACAGGAAGCGATTTGGACTCTCTTTTCTCACCACGTGGTGTCTTTTTCTGATATGGCTTTTGGAAGCTTGATATGGCAGTTCCTTCCTGTTGATCCGGGTGTTTTCATTCACATAGTTCAGTAAAAGCACACACCAATTACTTCTTTTGTTCACCCTGTCGCCGTTCGCAATCTCGTCCTGAGGGTTCCAAGATTCCAATCGACTGGACCCTGCAAACCGACATGTCTCCAGTGTCTCTAGTGTCTCGTTTCGCCCGTGGATCCGGAGAACCTCTTCTCCAACCCCAGACGTTTTGTGTGAAGGACCATACATCAAGAATGCGGAGCGCAGAAGAATGTGTGTGGAGCGTTTGGATGACCATTGTACTGTTACATTCAGAACCACCTTCTCTGCTTGCTTGCTTTCCCATCTCTGATGCGTTTTGCTTTCCCCAAACAGGGAAAAAGAACCTCTCGTGCCCGGGCGTCTGGATGCGTCAACCCCTTTGGGTGGTGGTTTCATCGAGGAACTCGAATGAAAGCGTCGATCCTGGCGAACTTGCACCTCTTCTCATCAAAGCAGCAGAAAGCTTTGCAAAGCGCCCCTTGGCCAGCACTCATTCCGGGGCATTGCGCGTGTTCTGTGGATCGTCCACAATACATGCCTACATGGACCCCCGAAAGCTCCCCATGTAGGCAAATATGCCGCACAAGTGTCAAAGCCAAACGATAGATGAACTTTGCGCGGCCATCCGTGGGCCGGCCGTTTTTTAAAAATGCGGTTTGGGCCTTGTGTGATTTTGGAGGTTGAGTTGCTCATTTTCGCCAGTATCCCAGAATTTCCGTGACGTGACTCATGAACTACTCCACCCGGAAGTCAATCCATCCACCACTAACAGGCTGAGGCATGAGGCATGACTGGAATGTTAGGGTAGGGTGAGCACGGCGACGGAAACGTACACTGTGTACACCTCAGACTGGAACTGCAGCCACGTGAAACCGAAGCGACCTTTTGGAGGGGGTGTGGCGATCGTACCTCACTGCCGAAGCGTAGGGTTCACCGGAAAAGACGTCGTCCCTTTGGGGCACGGGAGTGTAGTGAACGGTATACTGATCGCTGAGCTCCCCGTCCTTCCACTGTCCAAGATTCTGAGCATCCGACCATTCGAGGCAAAACAAGTGGCCCCTTTCGAGCTTCACATCCCAAATACTCGAAGGAAGAATGCTCGTTGGATCGTAGCCCATGTTACACGCCAATTTGTGGCTGGGCTTCCAAAAGAAACTTGGAATCTTCATGTGACGGTTTGGTGCGTGGCTCAGGAGTCTTGCCAGTTCAACATGTCTCTCGGCTGATCTGGGGTAAGATGGACCGGCAGAAATCTCAGGTCAGCTGGTCGCCCCGAAGACAGGGTCAAACCTTGGGAACCTCCGTGAGACGAGCCCGTCGTCGTGAGCGTCGTGTTGCGCGCAACACGTGGAGAGCGTTACGGGTCACAGTTCCGGGTACTGGGGTGTTTGTTCAGACGAAGAAAGAGTATCCCCAAACGATGCATGCCTTGCCTACCGATCCCAATCTGTGCACAATCAGAAAAGAAAACAACAGAAGGCCAGAGTAAACCCGAACGAGAACCCCCAAAGAAGACCACCCGACGGACGGACATATGATACACGCACATGAGCGCTGGAATTGGAAGGAATGGAACTCACCATTGGAAGGAATGGCCCAGCAGGGTCTATTGGCATGACACGTCTCTCGAACGCGTCGGGGCAGTTTTCACGGTGAATTCGTCTGTGAGATCGGGAGCGTGAACCTACCGTTTTGGGGTCCAGGTTTTGCATCCGCAAACCAGTTGCGTTTTATTTCAGGCAGACGCGGAGACCCCCCCGCTTCTGGCCCTGGTCTAGTTCTTACGACAACGCACTTGTGGGAGGTCGTTGTCGTATTAGAACCGTTCGTGAAAACCAGGTTACCTGTGTGGGATTCAGGACCCATGAATGGCAAAGAGGTTGAATACAGACCACTGCTGTATCTGATATGTTTTTGCGACATAACGCCCGGAATATAGAAGACTTCAAGAGCTTAGACCTCGTCACCGGAAACGAGGTCGTTTCTGGGTCCGGTTCTTGGGTGGTTTAGCCAACAGCTCCGGCGTCTATATCGTAGCTCCGCTCGACCCAGCTCCCGACGTGACTCACTCCGTGACGAGTCGTCGACTCGTTGAGCACCGGGGAGCAACCCGACACATGGGCGGAAGAGGGGTCCTAATGGGTTCATCTGGTCTTGCACGGAGGTCACTGGGTGCGGCTTTCATGGTCTTTCATGGTCCAACGGTGACAAGGTCATGCCTCAAGAGTGGCTTCATTCAGAAAATCGGAGTTCTGCTCGACTCCAGCCTTTTCCCAAATTTTCCCAAACTGTCACCAGAACCCCCAAACTACACCCAGTCCGACCTCATGTTCCGTTCACGCCGGGCGCTCTTGACGTCTTCGACACACAGGGTGTCTCTCCCGACCGTCTCTCCGCCATCTCTTCCCGCGGAGGTTCGCCTCGGCCACCGCCAAGGAGCCGGGTCGGACACGGGTGGACCGGGCGGCGCTTGGGCGTGGGCGGTGGGTCCGTCGCGGCTGACATGGGCTGATCTGGGAGCCCAAGTGGACGCCAGTTGACTGCCCAAGTGGAGCAGATCATTGGCCTTTTCGACCCGGGAAAGATCTACGAATCGCCCAAGGCGAGACCAGGGATCACGCGCTGGAAGAGACGAGACCGAACCTGAACAGCACACACCCGGTTTTGCAGAGGAACATGGTCTTGCAAAGGTTCTATGTCAGTCTTCCCGGGTGAGGCAAGACTTGGTGTGGGTTTACTTGGGTGAGGCAAGACTTGGTTGAAAGGAAAGGTTTAACAGGATCTTTTTTGGTTCGGTCACTCTGAAATCACTCAGCGCACAGAGTTTGAGACATACCAAAGGCAAGGGCCTACTAAGGCAGCTGCCTACCTGGCAGCCCCACTGGGTCTTTTGAGATTTCTCACTTTACGCCTTCATCCAACCCCCTGGATTCTGGATCGATTGAAGGTCTCGCAGTTTTTGCAAACACCACGATCAGGTGTTGGGCCCCGCCCTGTGACCTCTCTCCAGTTGGCTTGAAAGACGTGGTCCTGGAACCTCTCCTGCCATTGCCAGGAGAAAAAGAAGGAGACGCGCGAACGTGAAGGCGTGGCCGTGGGACGGGCTTCCAGGACCCGAAGCAGCCCAGAGCTATGGGCTGAACCATGCCTGTGGTGTATCGACTGCGGTCCAAAAGTGTGGGATCCCATGAGTGGATTTCAATTTCGCTTTCACGACGATGTCATGACTCATTCTGTTTCGGGCGGCTGGACTGGAAGTCATGACTCCTACGACTTACTCCGACGGTGGAGTAGAGTCATACGGTTTCGGGAGCCGGAGTCGGAGTCGAGTGCTGGGGACCTTTCCGGCGTCAGTGCTGGGGACCCTAAGAACCTTTTGATATCCAGACCTCGAGACCCTCCAGACCGAGTGCTGAACCATCAGTGGTCGTCATTGCTGTTTTTCTTCCTTTTTCAGGTCCTCGGTCGTTAGAGTTGACGTTGTCGGTCGTGCTGTTCACATCAAAGCACTCGTCATGTGGGTATCGGTTGAACCGGAACGAGGCCGGCAACACATGCTGGTTCCTTTGGAGACCCCCCACCTGTCCCGGGGTCGAGACACCCCGGTATCCAGGTGAACCTCGCAAGAAGAAGGCCCGGCGTGCCAAGGACTCCCGCAGTAGCCACTGGACCGAGGGTGTGGGGCGGGCACCTGGGGGGGTGTTCAGGAAAGCAGAGGAGCCGTTGGGGGGCCGAGCCTTGGGATGGCCCATAGGCTGTTGGGAGGTTGGGATGGGTAGGGGATGGGTAGTGGATGGGTAAGGGGATGGGTAGGGGATGGGTAGGGGATGGGTAGGGGTAGTCGATGTTTGACGCTGTGGATGATCCTGGGGTACAATATCAGAAGAACTGAGCCCTAGGAAGCAGGGGGCTGTTTTTGGCAGAGGTTTTTAGAAGGACGGGTTTGCAGCGCAGTAAGAGCCAATGGCTTCCAACAGCCACGTTTGGTGACGGGCTGAAGCTCTCTCCGAAGCTTTCCGAAGCTCCAAGGACGATGGGGGAACTTAAGTTTCCTGAACAATCTAGGAACCAAATGAATAGTGCGAGCGTCAGGCGGAGCTTCCTTGAAGAAGCGTGAGCTATCCTGCGTCCATGCTAGTAGCTTAAGTAAGGTACTACTAGCTTACCCAATCAAGTAGGCGCCTACTTAATTAAGTAGGGAGGGGGGGGAAGCGAGCGGGCTACAAAAAGGAGACGTCTTTTTGTTTGGTTCTTTGGTCCTTTGGGCTTTTGGAGCCTTGAATTCTTCCCGTCCAACACTCCCCCCGTCCGAAGACGATGGAACTCGTTCGGCGCCGCCGCTGCCGTCGCCGAGGCGAGTTTGACTCTGTGGACTCGCGGCCGCCGCCGCCGAAGCCGCCGGGGAGAGCGCCGCGGCTGCCGCGCGGGTCTCGGGAGGCCGGGGGCGTTCGGTGGGGTGCTTCGCTGATGGAAAGCGAGGTGAGCCGAGCTGATGGAGAGGGAAGTTGTTTTTGGAGTTGAACTGGAGGATGGATGCGAGCTGAGAAGCAGCTGGGGTTGGGCCAGGTGAGGGGGGTGCGAGGACTGAGGAATGGTGTCCAAGCAAGGAGGTGTGTAGTCGTTCGGTCTGAAAGCTTTGTATCGAGTCTTTTGCTCCAGTTCCTGCCCTGGGAAGGTAGTACAAAGAGTAGATCCACTGGGCCAGGAAAGGCCAAAGCACTCCTCAGAAGCAGGAACCTCACTCATCCTCCAATCGTGCACCTACTGTATAGACACCGGATGCACACACAATGATGATGTTGCTCAAAACAAGGATGAGTGACCGACACTTGCTGGATCAAGAGAGAGACTCTGCATTTAGGGTTAAAGAACGCTCAAAGGTCTTGTATTTGGTGTCCACGAGCTGTATGTCCTCCACTGACTCGATCGTGTGTGCCGTTCGTGACGGATCAGCTGCCCATCTGGTGCAGGATCGCTTAGACGGCCGGGACGACCGCCGGGATGACCGGCGCGATGACCGGCGGGACGACCGGCGGGACGACCGGCGGGACGACCGGCGGGATGACCGGCGGGATGACCGGCGGGATGACCGGCGCGTGTATGCCCGTGGAGCTGCAGATGACGGCTACTGAGTAGCTGATCCGGCCCAAGTGAAAGTCGATGGTTGTGAACAGAGGTTTTTGCAGGACACAATGTTGCAAGTTGCTTCTTTCATTCGCATTCTAATTCTGACCGTTTCTTTTAAACATGTATTTTCTTGGCAGTGAAACTTGTTTGCTTTGGCCACATTTATAGATGTTCCAACACTAGGATCCAAATGCCTTGCCTGTAAGGGAAGTCCTCAGTCTTCCATTCAACATGCCCCAAACTCCGGAGCTCAACCAATCAACATTGCGAAGCCAAGAGCTTGCAGTGCGGCAGTGACCAGTGACCCCACAGTACCCGTGACTACTCATCGGGGACAGCTGAAATCCTGCATCACCCAAAACACTTGTATGAAATATCCTGGTCGTGTCTGAGCTTTGTTGGTTCGCTTGTGGAGGATTTCAGGATTTCCTTCCTTCAGGAAGACCAGGATTTCACGATTGGGGGGGGGGGTGTTTTTTGTTTTTTTTTTTTTCCGGGTCTTGCTTTTGCTGTTGCTTTCGGCACATTGGTTTAGCGCACCCACCGGCGCGGAGAATCGGGGGCCATCGGATCAGCTCACCAAGTCCTCTGGGCGGTCGGTCGCCCGCCAGGGGTCGCCCCCCCCCCCCACGGGGTCGATGGCACTGGATGATGTGGCCTGGACAGATATAGAATCAGCATGACAAGAGATGAGGATTCCAAGATATTCAGAGCACCAGAAAGTCAAGGATCATCAGGATTCTTCTATTTAAGACAAGGATGGGACTTTCAAGGATCGCTGCTACTTCTATTTAAGTAAAAAAGACCCCTGACTCTCGATCTTCACTGTGGAATGATCGCAGGACATGTGAGAGCTTTTCTGACAGAAGCTTGCGTGATGGAACGTCCAGTACGAACTTCCTTTCTTGGGGTCTGTGAACATGTGCACCGCTTGATTTGGGGCCTGTCGGCCCATGTCGCGCTCATGTCCCCTGCAGAAGAGCCACCGAGAGCAAGCCGATGCGTGGGACAATTCGTGCCGCTTCGACAAGACTTCTGGCACTGCCGGCAAGAAAGAGGGCGTACGAATCGTGAAGGGAGGACAGGGAATCCAAAGACTTGGCACTGATCTCGACACAGGTGAAGTGAAGAGAATTAAAGACCATATTTTGGGTGGTTTGTGGTCCAAAATAGACGTCATTCAGGTTCTATATAGGTGTTGAAAGAAAGAAATATGACACATGCATCACTTGCTCATATATAATAGGTTCTCTTCAGCTTGAGAAGCTGAGCTTCAGAGCTTCATTCATGAGGGGGGTCTTGGGATCAAATAGCTTCTTTCAGATTTTTCTTGGCCCTGAAAAGAGACCAAACAAAACTAACAAAACACCTCCGCGGGCAAACCATTCGCGTCGTGTTCACGGTTGGGAGTGACCAGTCCAACGCGAATGCTCAGAGCGCTTCTGGTGGAGAAGCTGTCACATGTGTAGCCTTCGCAGCGAACAAAGCTTCTGCCCTGCCTCACCCAAGTCACGCCCAGACTGACTTGGGCATCCCAAAGAAGAATTGGAGGATGTACTTTGAGTTTCCTGGGGAACCTGGATGAATTTAGAAGTTGGATGAATTTGAGAATTGGAGGATGAATTATTGGGAACTTGGATGAATTTGAGAATTTGAGACTCTTTCTTCATGTTGAACCATGACAGTGCGTGAACACCAACCTACTCTCTGCCTGAAGTGGCTCCTAAGTCTTCTTTTTACCTTCCTGGTGTTCACCTTCCGTTTTGTGTTGAAGGAGGTGACAGGTTCGTGGGGAAGACTCTTGGCTTTAGAACCTTTTAAACGTGATGGAGCCAACGTGAGGTTGGGTTTCGTAAGTGGAGTGCAGCCCAGAGTTCAATGAGTCTTGATGGGGACTTCTATTCTTTTTGACATTCCTTCTCATTTTCGTTGATCTAACCAGTAGTTTTGGGCTCACCTCTGGTTCCGTATGAAGCAACCAGTCGAGTCAGTGCAGCTCTCTGCGGCTCAGGCCCTGAGTCCCATGGTGCTGGCGAAGCAGGCTGAGGCGAGGACTCCACGACCGCCACGGAGACCGGGAGACCGCCACGTCGTTGCCGCGCCTGGTGCTGATGTTCACCAAGTTCTTCTTGCTTCAGGTGTCCGGTTTCTGGAGCCGGCCGTGAAAACAGCGGTGTTCACCGTGGTGTTGATTTGCTGTGTTTTGTCTGCTGGATGGGATTTGAGAGCAATGTCGATCATGTTGATTTGCTTCCAGGTTCTTGTCCTATCCAAGCACCCAGGGTTATGCAGACAGGAAGGTTTTGGGGCAATCATGGAGACTGCCATCGTTCGTTCTTTTGCTGAGCACTGGCACCTGCACCCTGTGGCCACTGGGTTCTGGCTGCTCCGTGCTTGGCACGGGGGGAGAAGTTCTAAGTTCCGAAGAACATGGAAGTGGAGTGAACACACAGAAAACACACTGTTTATAGAGGTCTGAACAGAACGAAAGGGGGCCGCCCACGTCTGCCATCCACGTCCGACCGTTGGCTCATAAAGCTAGTCATTTTATCATACTTACTCATTCATCTGTCGCTATACCACCATTCACAGGGTCAAACGTCCGTGAGCTGTCTACTGAGCGCGCCAAACGCTGCCGGGTGGGTGCCCGAAATGCACCGAAGACCACTCGTCACCGATGGAGATGCGTGCGCGCCAAACGGTGCCCGAAACAGCCCAACGGTGCCCGAAACAGCCCAAAATGACCATTTGGTGAGGATGATTGGAGATCTTTTTGGGCTTGGAGATCGGGTCACCAAGTGGGGTCAAGAAACCAAGCACCCAAGGAACCCTTCTAGAAGTTCTGCATGGCTTTGTTCGAAGGGTCTAGGACCTGTGAGGACTCTGGGTGGCGTCCGTTCGTTGCCGGGGGACGTGCCGGACGACTTGGCATGGATCCCAAGGTCTTTCCTTCCATCCTACTTCCAAGGCCTTCCCCCCCCCTGGTGGCCTTCAGGTTGAAAATCCTTTTCAAGACGATGGTGGTTGGGATTGAGACCACGAAACAAGGGGTGTGCCAGGAATTTGAGGCAGGACTTTCAGAACCAAAGCCATGAACACCTCGCACCTTCCCCCCAACCTGGTCGCACATCACTGGTTTTCCGTCCAGCTTTTGCCCTGCTGCCACACTGACACCGAGGAACTCGAAAATTCGTCATGTGGTTCGACAGTCGAAGGGGCGAGATGCAGCTCGACCATCGGACTCCCTGGAGGTATGTGGACCACCTGCAGGTCACCTCATTTTTTGGGACACCATGGGACACCCCACTGTTCACCAAATGCGGTCGAGCGCAGCTAGCTCCGCTCCTTCGCGAACGTGCAGAATCCGAGTACGATGATCTGAGTACGTGACGCGAACGAACCCATCCTCTTTTTCCCAAGCGCGCACGATTGACGCGAACGATCGTCGGCGCGCTGCAGGTGCGCCTGAGCGCCCCGGGGGATCGAGCCCCCAAGGAGCGTGGTGGGAAGGGAAGCCGGACGCAAGGGGTGGATCCACTGTGGGTTTCACGAGATCAGCTGTTATAGTATAAAGTATGGTATGCTCTATACTGGTTGAGCTTAGGGGGGGGGCTGAAGCTGTCAAGCACGTCGTGGTTGCCCCTCTTCCGGATTGGGCGAAAGAAGGAAGGAGTAAAAACAGTAGACCTTGCTTGGGTCTTTGTGAAAGTATAGCAGCACTTAGCACTTAGTATCAATGGGTTTGATATCAGCAAGTTCTTTTGGCCGGAGCAGGGTCAAACACCTCCATTGCGGGTGTTCAAGCTCTTCTTCTTCCGGGTGAGTTGAACCGTCGAACCCTTCGCAGATCTCCTTCACGAAGCGTCGAACCTAAGCCCCCGTCCTCCGACCGACCGATCGGCCGAAAGATGACGGTGGGTGAAACGCCCCCGGTTAAAAGGGGCTGGACGTACTTACGGAAGAAAGGTGGTAGTACATGTCCAGATACTCCTGCCGTATATATATATATATATACAGTATATATATATACAGTATATATATATATATATATATGCATGCGTACATTGGGGTGGTTTTGGGGGTCAATGTAGGCATATATGGCATACATGGAGTGTCTGGGATGTATGTACAGCATTGTAGTAGCATGTCGCATGGGAGAGGATGATGCCCGGATGGGAGAGTGCCCTTTCCAAGAAACCTGGAACGGGCCAACGGGTTTAGGATATATAATCAGGGTCGAGACATGAGTTTTGGTCGGAAGAGACATTGGTATCGGGGTACTTTAAGCTTTAAAAAATCAGAAATGACTTGTTTCACGATGTCGAATACTCGTTCTTGAAAAAGGGTTCAACAAATGATTCAGAAGTCATTGACATCTCTTGGTTTTGCAGTCACTATACTTTGTTACCTTGGCCGGACAAAAGGAAACAAGACAGCCACCACCATTTATGCTTTTCACATCTTTTCACGATAGTAGGAGCACTGGGGATGCTCAGAGGCCTCTTGGAAGGAAAGGTTCTAGATTGAATCTGTTCACAGTCACGCAGCGACTCCACCGTCACTAATGAGCACATCACACTCTGCGACTAGCCGCGTGGTTTTTGCCGCCTATGCCGCCCTTAGCCTTGAGCTTTGATGGGACCTGGACAGGGACAGGCGGGACAGGGACTTCTTCCCAGCGCCGGGAGGCCTTTTGGTCGCCAGATCAGCTCTCAAGCTTCTACACGCCGGGACTCCCGACAGGCGGTGGAGACAAGCCGTGAGACGAACGACCGCCAGCTACCGGCCAACTACTCTTAGGGGTAGGGGGGGAGTGAATCAAGTCGACGACTCATCAATAGGAGAAGGGATTTGAATCAGGTACTGTCATTTAGACTTCAGATCTAAAACACTGTTTTCTTTTTTTTACTTGGAACGGAATTGACACCGAACAAACGGAACGCAGAACTCGATGATGAACGGAAAGCTCCCCTTCTCGGGCCAGCGACGTGTCGAGAGACCTCTGGGCCAGCGACGTCCACCCCTCCGAGGTGTCTGGTGGAGGCAGCTGGTCCACCACGCCGTTGCGACTGGCCGGGCGGACAGCGATGGGGTTTGCACCTTTCTCTCTATTTTTGTTCTCTGCGCTCGGGAAAAACCAGCAGTGGAGTTGTTTTTGAGTCGCTGGCTGGTACGGACAGTTGTTTTTGAGTCGGCTGGCTGTGTATGGACTCTCCAGTAGGCAGTGTTTGCCTTTCACCAAGTGTCATCCCCATGTAGCTGCGACCGTTCTCCAAGCGGATGGCATGCTGCCATGACCCAGGGACCGAGCGACCGAGGTCAGGTGAACGGAGTCCCAATCCTCGTCCCGAGGAGTGAAAGACTGTTATTCTCGAATGGTCTGACGAACGGGTACCTGAGGACCGGGAGTTTCCTTTACTAAACGTCAAATGGAAAAAGTATCGTCTTGGGACTTAGACCCTAGAATTTGGGGTGTGCATGTTCTCCAATGGGTTGACTGGTCTGTTTTCTGTCTTCCAGGTGTTGAACTGGGGGGGTCTCCCTTTGTCTTTTCCCGCACGCACTCAAATGGCAGTGGTTTTGGAGCAGTGCGCCCCAATCCACTGCTGATGGCCACGTCTCATCCTGCGCGCGATCTGGACAAGCTCGAGATTGGTCGTGGTTTTGGGGATCGGCAGGTGCTTCTCTCCTCAGTAGCAATCTCAGAGGGTGTCTCGTGTCGTGTCTCGCGGTGGGTGTCTCCGTGCAACACGAAGGGCTGCGGTTTTTTCACCCCAGGGCTGCTCTTGCTGGGTGCAACACATCCCGCCGGGCAGTGAATCCCATCTCCTGGCCCTGAGCGTTTTTCCGTTCGTTACCTCCTCATGGCTTAAGTGCAGGCATCCGGTCTTTGAGCAGTACTTTGGCTTAAGTGCGGAGGCTCAGGGGGGAGGCATCTGCCGAACGAAGACGAAGAATTCGCTCCCCTGGTCAGTCACCCGAGGTTCAGCCCTTGAAGGCCCGACCCATTCACCCCTCCGGGGTGGAGCCCTCGATGGAGATTTGTTTACCCAGCACAGATGTGGTGGAAGGGCCTTCTCCGGGTGACACGATCGGGGCGAAGCGTCAGCGAGGGGGTTTTGGGGCCTGGTGACGAGCGACGAGGCTTCGTGGTTTTTGTCGGTTCTCCGATCGAGGTTTCGTGGCTTGTCGTGAGTTCTTTTGAGAAGCCCGTTGCATCTCCCGTGCAGTAGAAACACTACCCCTCCCTCCCTCACGAAGGATGAAGCCAGTCGTCCTCCTGCGAAGAAGACGGACGAGTCCGTCGTTACAGACACCTCTTCACCTGCTCAGAGTGGAGGTTTCACCAGGTCCTACCAGGGGCCCTCGAAACCATGAAAAAAAATAGAGGCTTTCACGTACCAAAACCAGTTTTTTTGCTAGGGAAAACCAGGTTTTTGATGGTTTGTGGGGCCCTTGGTAGTGGGTGAAATGCCACTGATGAGTCCAAAGCCAACGGGCTGGGCAAAACGGCTCGAGCCTGTCTTCGAGGGGCAACACGCGCCTTTCTAGAGTCCCTCCTCTGGTTGGGGCGTCAATCAATCAGCAACCTGTGGTGTTGGTGAGATTGGACATTCTATTGCTCACTCATTAGGAAACATCGATATCACGTGGTGCAACATCCAGCTGAATTGATCAAATCTTGGCAAAAGCAGCCAGTCTACAGCCAACAGTTCGTAATCAACTCTCATATGTGTCATGTTCGTGTGGCTCCACATCGGTCGTCTACAGCCCTGGCCGGAGGCCACACGACTCATTGTAGGCCCATCAAAAGGGGTGGATCGAAAGGGGTCGATGACCGCGCACATGGGGTGTTTTCCCCGATGAACACCGGTGTCGATGCTGATGTGGTGATCTTCCTGCGAAAACCACCCAAATCACACGGTGTTTGATTTGTGATGGACCTGAAGTTGAAGAAACCCGACAAAAACAGGTGTCTGGCCAATCAAATACTATAAATACTCACCTCAGCTGAAAAAAACCAACTTTTGTGGAACCATGTCTTTTTCCCGTGGTTTTTTTGGTGCTACTTTTTTTCAGGTGCTTTTTGGTGTTACGTTTTTGTTTTGAACCGTTTTGGTCACAGCAGCATCCAGCACTATGCCAATGCTCTCTCGCCGTCGTCATGCTGCCTTTGGCTCAGCGGGCGCTGTCCGAGCAAAAAGGTTAGAGAAATGCATACAGAGCAAGGTAAGAAGAACATCTCTTTCTGATAACTATTTGTTCCAAAGTTGCATTCTTATCCAGAAGTGGCTTGAACCTAAAAAACTTATGTATATGCCTGGCAGTTTGGGCCTTTTGGGGGCAAAGCTGTGGACTGAACATGTACTTCTTCAGAAGCATGGTTACAGTGGAGAACGGAAAACAAACACGCTGTAGCAAACGGTCTTTGTTCTATTTGTCGAGCACCTTGTGCAGCTCCCGTGCATCAGATGGATACCCCGGAGCCAACACCACCGGAGCTTTCCTGCTCCGACCAGCTCTGACCAGAGACAGTGCAGGCCCAAATATGCATAGCAGCATCAGTGACTCAGACCAGGTCCTTATGAACTTCACATCCATTTTTAAAGCACCTCTTTTCACTTCATTGTTCTCAGCTCTTCATGAAGCCCAGTTCACCAGCCTCTTGTGTCCCCTCTTCGTGGCCACGAAGGTCTAGACTTTCTCAGCCGTGTTTAGTCAGGTGGGGGGGCTCGCGGGGCGTGTTCCTTCACGCGATCTCGCGTTCGGACGTGTCCGATGAGTTATCACGTGCCATGGCCAAAGAACGAGCTCTGGCAAGATGACTACCGATGGCCCAGCGGAGGCGCGCCCGCGTCTCACTCTTCTCTCTTCTCGCGTCTCGCGGCGCACACGGCACACGGCCATGTGCGAAGGCCCCCAGGAGTCCAACAGAGCCATTGATTGAATGGTTCTCACTGAAAAGCCATGGGTCTTAGTGAGCCATTTTTTTCAATGGCCGTCTTGGAAGGCTAGGGTTGAGGCTAGGGCAAGGTGTGGCAACCCTTTTGGGTCATTTTGGTGCTGAAGTTTGTGGTGCGAACCTTCTGTTGCGGTGTCGTCTTGTCAAGGAAAGAGACGACTTTATTGGAAGAGAAGGGTGATCAGATCGCAAGGTCTTGGGGTTTTGATTCCATTGGTGAAGTCACTCACCAGGCGAGGGGGTCTTGGATTTTGCTCAGGACTCTTGAAATACGTGAACTTTTTAGGATTGTTCTTGATTCAAACGTTGTTGTCAAAAAATGGAACCTCTTCAGCAACTATAGTTTGATGGAGTTTCTATGAGTTTCTCCATTTGTGTCCCTCTTCAATTGCTGGTGTTCTTCCTGAGTGGCTTCGGGGTTCTTCGAGCTGCATGTTCAATGCCAACAGCTAAGTGACATCCACTAGCAAGTGGAATACAACTATCTATCGCCAGGTCCCAAAGCACAGTTTCACTGTTGTGTTTACCTTTGAAGGTTAAGAAACACTGAACAATGCTATGAAGCGGTGAAACATCACATGAATCCTTTATTTCATGTTCCGAATTTCAGATCCTTCCCCGATCTCACCGTGTGGAGCACAGGCGGGTGCCGGATCGAAATGCCTGTGCAGATGTCATGGCCATTGGCGTGCAATGGTGTTCTCTGTTACTTTACGTGGCAATTGCTGTGCCATCGTGCTCTCTGACTCTACTTTGCGCATGGTAATTACGTACGATCGAGATCATCCACAAGTGCATCGCGCTCTCTAAGAGATTTTGCTATAGTGATCTCCTACAAATCCCCTCAAGAGACTTTGCTAGAGTGATCTTGCACATAGTTTTTTGCCACATCTATCTTCTACAAGTGCTCTGAGATGCAGGGCGCCAAGTGCTCTCAAAAGATCTTGCTACAGTGTTCTTGCACACGGTTTTCTACAAGTGTTCACAAGAGATCTTCCTACAATGATCGTTATGCTCATCTCAACACTGTTTGGGGTCTTTTGCCGGGATACTGTTTTGCTCTCTGTGATTGTCTTAAGCTTGTATCTTTCACAATCCAGATCAATCAAGCATTTCGTGCACATCTCCTGGATGAACCGATCCGGGTGTGGTCATGCGCATTGGAAGCCCGTTTTGATCACTTTCATCAGTCTGGAACCCCAACCATGGACTCGGTGGACATCGCCATCTTACTCCACTTCACCTTGGCCAGTCGGAGCCCAACCGTCGCATCCTTTGAAGCGTTTTCTTTGATCCGCTGGAGGCGTCTCGTGCCCGGTCCTCCCCGTGCGCGAGCCGCGTGTCGCGTCGTCGCCTTCGGCCACGCGTGGTCGCGCGCGGTTGCAGGCCATAAGGAATGGCATCACCGATGGGCACGGCCCGTCGGCCGGGTCTGGCTCCGGAACGACGAAGGAGAGGATGCTTCGACACGTGTAGGCTGCGGCAGGATGTGTGTGGTGTGCAGAGTTTCGCAGGTTGGGGGGGAGACAGGGGAAGTGTCACTTCTCTGAGGGATTTCTACAGGTCAGTTAGTTTGACCTGATTTTACTGGTGTTGGTGATTTTCAATCACTACTCAGTGAGGTTTTCAGCAGTACAGAGGGACCTGGGTCAGACCTGGGAGTACGGAGTACGGAGCTTTTTCCGATGTGGAACTCTTCTTCCCGATTTCGCCCACCGACCCCGTGTTTCGCCACCGACAGCACCTGCACGCCGAACCGGTGCTTCCCAAGTGTGTCGGACGTCGAGGACCGGTCCAACTTCACCGAACGGTGCATCCAACAACTGACTGGTGCGACGAAAGTAGGGAATGAGGGTGGCTGGATCCAAAGGAATCTCTATTGGGGGCGAAACTTCCCTCATTCCCTACTAAGTAAGCACCAGTCAGACAAACTTCACCTCACCCGAACGGTGCCACACGAAAAGGCCGACGAACTGCGGCCTACGTGGCACGCTCCCAGCGGAGCAGCAGCTGCACGAGTCGAAATCCGAGTCCAAAACGGAGGGGATCGAGAATCACGATCAGTCGGCACCCAGGAACCACAGAAAATGAAGACTACTAGGGAGGTTCGGAGGTTATATGTTCGTGACAATATGATACATAATAGAGGATTATAAAGGGATGAGGTATCAGTACTGAGGTATCCGGTATATGCTGAGAGTGAGGAGTTAAATGTATACTGCCATGACAAGTGTTGTCTTGGGTGATTATGGTAGACATGGTTATTCTTATGCATCTTTTTCTAGTTCAATATCATGTAGAGGACAAAATATAAATACAGTAGTTTTGAGTTAATTATATATGGAAGATGTACCTTATTGTGTGCGCAATGTGACCTAACATGCCTTCAAATGCTTCTTTCATCTACCGATCAGACCATGATCCAGTCTAAACCCAGCGATGTCACGAGGAATGCGTTGTTTTGACACATACCCGTTGCGGCCGTGGTTTAGCCATTATTGAAATGACTTCTTTTTGTAGTCATTTACACTTATAAAGGTGGAAAAAAAACCGACGGGACGTTAATTTGTCCAACACAAAATCACGTTTGTGCCGTTTTCAGCAGTACTTGATTGATGTACAAACAAAAAGATTGGTTTGATATCAACAATATGGGAGTTAATGGTCTAGCTTTTCAAGAATCTGGGAAGGGGGTAGAACATGCCCATAAAGACAAAGAGAAAGGTCCAAACTTCTTGTTGGGCCTCATGCTTGTCTACATTGAGGTGAACTAGAGGTGCAGTTCCTTTTTGAGCTGGACCTTCTCTCTTCCTCTCATTCCACAACCCTTCTTCTTTCCCGAACATCCACACTCCCGCACACGTCCTCCTCAAATGGAAATCCGAGAAGAAGACCATTGATCCGCCTTCTCCGTGAGCTGTTACACCACCTTCCGAGGCACGCGCAGT